TTCTTGATGAATTGCTTTGAAACTCAAAATATAAAGATATATTAGTAGTCTAGACAAGATGACATGGTCAAATTAGCGTGAACTCACGCGCATGCACGTGCGCTCTTCTCTGATTGGCTGATACAAAAATCTCAATAATTTCCTTGTTTTTTGGCAAAATACTTTGAAATTTAGAATATAAGTATATATTATAAGGTGCTACAACATGTTATATAGGAAATTTCTTGAAAACATGTGCATGCAGGTGTGCTGCAATCTGATTGGTTGAAACTTTAAATGTCTATAACTCCCTTGGTTTTCAACAAAACAGGATGAAATTTATGACATGGATAGGCACATAGAACTCCTACATTATGATACTATCAAAATTGAATGCAAGGCCATGCATGCGCGTATGCTGAATTCTGATTGGCTAATACTTAAATGGTCACATCTCTCTTATTTATCAATGAAATTCTTTAATATTTAAAACAAATGTATGTATTGTGAGACACTATAAGAAAATAAATGTGAAAAATGTAGAAAACATGTGCAAGCACATGCACTGAAATTTGATTGGCTAATACCCATATGGCTATATCGGAGTAGTTTTCCAATAAAATACCCTTAAAAATAAAGTGTCCATCTATATTACAAAAGTATTGTCTAATTTATTGAAGCTTGTAGGGAATGGGGCATCATAAGGGATTGGGGAGCCGTTTGGGGAACATCTGTAACGGTTCCCGTTACAATTAGCACTAGTTACATTTACAATAGTGAAATATGTAATTCATTTGTTGAAAAAATAGAGGATAATCAATGTTTTGTAGTTGGATATGGCAGGGCTCTACCTGGCGACTAATTTAGTCGCCATGGCACCTAAAAAATATGATTGGCGCCTAAAATTTTTCTATAAGTCGCCAATTGGCGACCATATTAAATTGGCTTGGTGATCGTCAAATTACTGAACTATAAACATTTTCAAATTTTTTTGAATAAGAAGCAGAAAAGAAGTTTAAAAGTTAGCAATGGACATGTCACATAGAGGCCTGTATGGTTTCTTTTCACGAGTGAAGCAGGATTTTTTTTTTTTAATTTTTACATGTGAAAAACATGTGACCTTATGCCAATATCAACACATCAACCAATCACTAGGCCATAAGTAATCTTTGTGTCAATTATGGTTTCCACAGTTTCTCCCTTACATAATAATGGAATAGGAAAATTTAATTAAATATTTTTTTGGCCATTGACCTTGAGCATGCAAATGACCTTGGTCAATGTCCTCATATACCCAAGGTCACAAGTAATCTTCAAGTCAAGTATGAATTTTCATTGTTTCTTCATAAAAAAAAACTCTTATAGCCTTGAATAAAAAAAAATTGCTCTAACAATTAACCTTGGATTAAAGTTGATCATAACACATCCTCAGGTCACAAGTAATATTTTTGTCTGGTGTGAACTTTAAGTGTTTCTCCATTAAAGTAATGACCTGAACATCATGGTATGGACAGACTGACAGGCAGATGAAACAATAAACAGATGGACATGGTGATTCTAGTATATCTTCCAAAACTTTGTCTTTGAGGTTATGATTAAATGAATCTTTATTTTATAAATGTCTAAGAGTCTTTATGAAACAAAATATACTTGTTAGTTGAACAACCTTGAGCAATTTAAGAGGCTCATGGGCCTTAATGGCCAATTGAGTATAATGCAACACTGTAACAGGTCCATAGAATTATAAAATAATATACAATTATTGCTGTTTTTGAGGTCCATATGATTATTTAGCCACCTGAGGAGTACAATATTCACAGAGCCCAAAGGGCAAGGTGAATACTGTACATCGAAGGTGGCTAAATCATTGTATTGACTGAAAAGACAGCAATAATTGTTTTATTATATAATTAATTGGTACAAACTCATTAAGCAGTTCATGTGATCTCACTTGTTTACACGTCGCCTGCGTGGCACAGTGGTTAGTGAGTTTGTCCTAGAGTGGCCGAGTAAGGAGTGAAATATATGGAGATAACGAACAGTATTCAAGCTCAAAAGTCCATTAAACAATACAAAATAGGAGCAGGGCAAACACGGACCTCCAAACATCAGAGGTGGGATCAGGTGCCATGGAGGAGTGAGCATCCCCTGCCGACCGGTCACACCCGATGTGTGCTCCTTGTCATGATTGGGAAATAACTGAAAAATCCGTCGACAATTCAGTGTGTAAATGATGGCCTAACAATTGGTATGAAAAACGTCAGTCAGCATTTGATTCAATGATAAATTGTATTTGCTGACAAGGTCATTGTATCGACCATAGAACTTACGAAATGATGACTTTAAAGGAGACAGCTGATATTCTTGTTTCATCAACTTATTTGTCAATAATTTACCTCGCTTTAGAAATTGTACATACGTAGAGCATGCTCTTGCGTATCGAATCAACTGAGAGATATATACCCCGTATGCAGGTGATGAAGGTATATTGCTGCATAAGTAAGGGAAGTTGAAGATTGAA